TCATGAAGGTGCAGTGTGGGACATGGGGAATGTTTTTGCAGGGAGGTTACTTCAGGCAGCGTCAATCACCTGTAACTCATTCCTGTGAGATGCCACCCTTCCCTCTCACTGCTCATGTGTCTTATTGTTCATTAATCACCTTAATTTCCCCAGCAGAGATTCCATGACAAGAGCAGGATTTACAGAATAGCTGCTCCAGCAAGTCCAGAGGGAGTTTGGCAAACGGGTGCTGGAAAGGGCTCAGGGAAAACTTCCATTGCAACATCTGAGCTTGGAATTGTGCTTTCCCCTCCCTGCCCAGGCCTGGCCCTGTCTTTCTGGCCGTGCTGACACCATCCTTCCCAGCTAGCTGCAGGAAAACTGGGGATTGGATACCCTGCATCTCCAGGTTCCCTTTCCTTGGGTGAGGAGGTGAGACCCTGCCAAACCTCTCCCATCCTCGTGCCCCCCAGACCCACACAGACCCCCACCCAGCCCTGGGGAGGGCTGCCAGCTCCAGGCAGGGCTGTCACCCACCACCCTGCTGGGAGTGAGCCTACAGCACATTGCACCCACAGAGCTGTGAAATCCCTGCAGCCCCCCCATGGCAGCAGCTGCTGGCACTGCCTCCTCTGCCAGGAAACCAGTGAATCCACCCCGGCATCCCAGCAACCAGATCAGAGGAATAAAAGAAGGGAAAGAAACCTCAGCTGCACAGCATGAGGGATTCACATGGCATGAACTTTCCACCAGTTGAGGTTTGCTTGGTAACAACACTGCCACATTAACCTTGTGCAACTCGACCCATCACTGGTTTTATTTGCAGCCACCTTGGCAGCCTGGAAAGACAAACCTCTCCCCTGACCCTGTGTCACAGCGTCCATCACACATTCCCCTGTTCTCCTAGCTGGACAAGGCCCTGCTGTGTCCCTGCTGGTCCCCAGGCAGGATGCCCTGTGAGGGGCTCTGGGCACTGCAGCCACTGGGGCACCCGCATTCAGCATCCCCCCACTCTGTCATTTGCTTGGTTCTGCTAGATCTTAGTGTTTAAACTGAAAAGTCCATTATTACCCCAGGAAAACGCCAAGGATTTTTTTCTCTGGCATACAAATTCCCTGGGAATTTCAGTAGAAAGATCTGTTGGCTGGTTGATGAGCTCTGAAAGGTGTCTGTGCCTCTGAGGCCTCTGCTGACCCGGAGTTACGGTAATGCTGCATAACTGGGGGGCTAATGCCAAGTTTTAAATGAGGTTTGCTCCACTGGGCTGGCTCTCAAAAAGAATGAATGTTTTAGGCCTAAAACTGTGTCTGTGGTCTCATAAAAATGTACAGCTCTCCTGATTTTCTGTTTATTTGCCATTAAAGGAACGATTCCATCCCGCCCTTTGCTTGCCCTCTGGTTAAAGTTTGCCTCCTTGGCAGAGGGTTCAGTGGGATATAAAAGTGCAACTCAGATTTGGAAACTGACCCAATATAATATCCCAAAATCAGCACTTTGTCCTCAGCAGTAACTTTACACGCTCCCAACCCCTGTTGAACTGTCTCTGCATTCCCAGCTCCTCAGCTGCCATCTCACTGGGCAGAGCCCCTCTGACCTGGGCTGGGTCTAAAGCTGTGGCCAAAGGGTAAATCTCTTCAATAAGGGGGGCTTTCAACTTCCAGCCCAGGTTTCCCTGCTGGCAGCAGTGCTGGTTATGGAGCAGAGCCACGCTGCCTGTGCGTGGGTGCTGCCTGCCCTGGGATTCCCCTCCTTTCCCTTGTTCCCAGCCTGCTGCGGAGAACTATTGACAGCACTTCCAAGAAGTGAATGCAACCAGAAAAAACTGGCCTGGAAAACAAAATCCATTCTGCTTCCCTCACAAAAAGTTCCCGAGAGCTGCCTGCTCTGCTGCTGTAAATCCGTGTGTTTGCAGCTCCTTCTCCCAGCCCAGCTGTGTGACGGGTGCCCACCCGGAGCAGAGGGGCACCTTCCTCCAGCCAAGGGCACAAAAGCTGGGAGAGATTTTCCTTCTCGTGCCAGAGCAGAGTCTCTGTCTGGGAGCTGCACAGCAGAGGATCCAGGTTTGTCCCCAGGAATGGCAAAGGAAACTCTTCCTGGACAGCAGGTCCAGGCTCTGGCAGAAGGCAGGAGCCAGCCAACAACAGCAGCAAAATTTGCCCTCCCTTTTCTTCCTCCCCACTTAACCACTCTCTAGCCAGGACCTTTTCAACCTTCACAGATTGCTTCAGAGCCCTGGAAGTCAGGTATTTTTCCCCTGGAGCTGCCAGGTTTGGTTCCACTGGAAACCCCTTCTGCCAGGAGACCCCCCACACCCTGCACTCCCCGAGTGCCCCCAGTTACAGCAGCTCAGTGTGAGCTCCAGAGCTGTCAGTCAGCACTGGTGTGCTGGCTGCTGGCCTGCCCACAAATACCTGTATTTCACAACTAAAGCAGGTTAATTTAAGCCACCACAGTCTGAAACAGCCTGACAGCTCCCTAGGGGCCCAAGGCAATCATTGGACTTTCAATATACCACAATGCTCTAGAGACCTCTTAAATAGAGTGATCTGGACAAGATGTGGTTGGGTTTAGTCCTGCTCTCAGAGACAGAAGTGCAGCCAAAAAAGTGAATGCTGAACAACCAACGGGGTTCCCAGGATTATTTTGCTGAAATAATTTCAATCCAGGTGATACATAAAGGATGGCTTCTTTTAAAAAGAAGTTACCCTTCCCTCACTTCAGAAGCAAAAGCTCACAATGAACATGCTCTGACATCTCATAAGATCTTCACCAAAGCAAAAAGCAGAAGCAGTAAGTTTGCAGGTTAATTGCACAATAAAAGGTACCTGAGTCCAGACTTGCACAGTCAGTTCTGCCACACCCGCAGGAGAGTCTAAACCACACCAGCCCTGACTGCAGGGACTCACAGGCACAATAAAATTAGAAAAACACAATTCTTTTTTGTCTCGTTGGTAAACTTCAAACCTTTGTTTTGGTTCTGGGGACATCATTTCCCATCGCTCCTGGCAAGTCCCAGCAGGTCTCAGGGGCTTGTTCTGCAGGGACACACAACCAGGGACCAAAAGAGGCTGAGGAGCATTGGACGGAAAATGGGTGCCTGAAATGAAGCTCTTGTTGCAGAGTGATGGATCTCTTAGAGGCAGCCAGAGGTCTGTACGAAAAAAACAACCTGCTCTACCCAAACTGAGCTGAGCAGGGAGTTGTTTCTGGCCTCCCTGCCTGACCTGCAGCAGGTCCCACGGGCAGCACGGAGGACACCGGGTGAGCTGCAGGGGACAGACACAGGCAGAGTGATCTCCCAGTTCAACACCCACCTGATACCCACTGGGCACCTCTGGGCTGGCCTGGAGCTGCAGTGGGAAGGGGATGGGAGCACTCAGAGTCACCTGAGGGTCTGTCACCACTGCAGGGGATGGAAGCACCACCCAGTGTCACCTCTGTCACCACTGCAGGGGATGGGAGCACTCAGTGTCACCTCTGTCACCACTGCAGGGGATGGGAGCACTCAGTGTCACCTCTGTCACCACTGCAGGCAGAGCTGTCCCTGCAGAGGGCCCGTGAGGAGCCGCTTTTGTTCCTGGTCCTTCCCACGCCGCAGGTCAAGGTTACAGTGCTTGGGTGAATTCCACACACAACAAAGCCGGTGTCTGTTGACTCTCACAGCTGATTGTTTTGGAACAATAATTCATAGTTGCCTCCCTGGATACAGAGAATGGAATGACAACTTGGATTAGCAGTGCACAGCCCTGCCCTGAGGACCTGCTGTTGAGATCCTCTGCTCTGACATCCCTCCGGGGCAGAATGGAGGATATTTGCTAAGCATCAATTGTGAAAAACCATTTCCTTTTCCGGTCCTACCCAGGGCAGGCAATCAGCTCATCCCTCTTGGGCAGGAAAGGAGGTATTTAAAGCACAGACACCCAAGCTCCCCTGCCAGAGGCTCAGGCTGGGACCTAGTCAGGACCTCTCCTGTGCAGGGCAAATTCATTCACCATAACCCGGGATAGAGAATGGTCAGCATGGACACTGAGACTGATCTCAGGGATGGGAATGGCAGCATTTCACTTGACACCAATCCTATACCCTTATTACCAGTGCACTCCACTGCCCCCTGTTTGTTTTAAGATGCTCTTTGGCTCTTGTCCTCCACCTCATTTGCTTTTGAGGCCAGAAGACCCAGCCAAAACCAGGATTTTCAGAAAGGTGGACATTGATCACTGAACTCTTTTCTAGCAAAGGGTAGCTGCAGAAGACCACAGAACCACATCACTCCTGCTCAGGAATGTCCATATTGCCAGGATAACAGAGTCAGGAAAACAGGTCAGCTCACCCAGAGTGATGCTGCCAAAGAGACCCTGGGGCACTGCCACCCCTCTGGCAGTGAGTGATGGCACAGACCAGGAAACTCATTCCCTCCATGTTCCTGTGCTCACAAAACACTGAGGGACTTTCAGTCTCAGCCTGCAGAGAAGAATGAGTGTTGATGTTTTAACTCATTGAACAAGACTCCTCTCAGGGCTGTGCAGTAAAAACCAAACCAAACCAACAAAAAACAACAACAACAAAAAAAAAACAAACACCAAAAAACCCCCAAACATAAACACCAAACCAGGAGGCACAAGTTACAATAGGAACACTTCAACTAATTAAGAAAATACCCTATATTCTCAGGAAGAAAAGTGGTAAAATGTGGAATGGGGCAATCAAATGTTGATAGTGCAATCTCCACCCTGCAGGGACTCAAAGCTTCCCCCAACAAGGCAAGAACAAAGCTTGCAAACAGCTTGGTTTGGTGTCGTGTCTCAGCCTCACAAGAGAAGACACTGCCAAAGCAAAGGGTTCTCCATCCTACTGGAGAGACAAAGATACACAGAGAGCAAAACCCATTTTCTGCTCCTGGGGAACAGAAAGATGCAGGATTTAGGAGGCACAAACCACACCCTGGTACTCACCAGGAAGGGGATGAACAGTTCATTAGATCTTCTCTGAGTCAGAGATTTAGAATTAAAACAAACACAGGCTAAGTCTGAAATCACTTTATTGAGAAGTTCCATACAAGAATAGTCAGTGGGAAAACAGATTCAAGTGTGATACAGCAACACCACAGACAAGCTCCTCTCACATCTCAGCTTGAGGCCAATTCATTCACAAACAGCCACTGTCTCCACACACTCAGTTTTCCATCAGGTCACATCAGTGGTTTCAGTGCAGCACAGGGAGCAGAGTCTGTCTTTATATCAAATAAGATGAGCTGTGACTGCAATTTTTCCTGTGAGAGGTGTAAGAGGCCCTCCAGGTCTTTTGAGAACTGTTTGCAACATAAGGCATCATCCCTACCCACCCCAGCTCATTCAGAACATTGACTGAAAGACTGTAACAAAATATTCTGCCAATAAAAATCTTTTGGAAAAACAGTATAAAAAAGTAGAGAGATATATATAGCATAAAGCTATCAAAAAGTGACTGTGCCATTTCCCCCCTTATAAAAATAATTTTGTTTTTTTAAAAAATCATAATACATTAGAAATCCACCCAATATATAACATATTGCACCTTTCCAAAATACCCTGTGCAGAAGCCCCATCCAGTACCTGGGCTGTTACAAGACAGACCAGCAGCTCCCCTTTAGTTCTGCTCATCTCTACAGCAGCTGCCAAGAATTTGGCTGTTGCATTTTTAGTGTTCAGAAAGTAGAAAGAGGCAAGAGGGCAAACCAAGTGTTAGTAAATCATTACCATTCCTTCTCAGGAAGGAGAAAAACCCATCACAGAGATCTCTTGATTAAAAAAAAAAAAAATATTACGTATTACTTGTTGCTGGTGTCAGTGAGACAATACAGCTTCAAATGTTCAATTCAGCTTCAAATGCTTGTATGTCAGTTTTTATTTGCAGAGCACCACTTCATGTGCCAGAGGGGTACCTGCAGCCCCTGTCAGTGATTTCTGGCCTAATAAGAACATACAGCCAAACCACAGGAGCAAATAAAACCAGGAGAGCTTACTTTGTTTCATGAAAGAAACTCTGTAAGACACCAACAGATGCAGGGTTGGGAACCTGCTGTCTGAAAATAATTAACATTGATTGATCATCAATTCAATTTTCAGTCACCTGGAGGGTTTTAGATAGAAAGGCAACCCCTGTCTTGCCCCCTGCTTTTCCAGGCACAAGATTCAGTCCCAGTAACCATGCACAGCTGTGCACAAAAGGAGCTGAAGTCCCAGGAATTGAAGATTCTACTGTGTGTGAAACCCACTCTGCATTTGGTGACTTAATCTTCCCAGATAACTCAGCAAGAACTTCCAAACTCTCTGTATAACCTTGGAGAACACCAGGAATGGGCTTTGGATCTGAGGATGTACAAATCAGATGAGCTGCTCCTCGATGGAAAGAGCACTGACCCATTCAGACACAGCTAGTACAGGCATGGGGGGTTTGTTAGGGGGGGTTTTTGTTTGCTTTCCTCAGCAGAGAGCTGGCAGCAGCCAGAGCCCCTCCCTGCACAAAGCGAACAAAGTTGTCCCCTGCCAGAGGGCCCAGGGCATAGAGCCCCTTCTCCTGGGTGCACTCGTGGGTGAAGGGGTCCACATCTATGGGATTCCTCTTGGGATTCACTGGCTGCTCACTGTCCATTGCCAAGTCAAGGCCATTATTTGGCAGAAAGGAGAGGTTGGGGTTGGAGCCAGTGAGAACGAGAGCCATGGATATTTTATAAGCTTTCTGACAGCCATTCTTGTCCTGAATGATGCATTTCCTGTCCTTGCCAAAGGACAGCACGTGATGCTCAGGAAGGCTGATGTAACATTCATAAGGCCCAGCACAAGCAGCTGTCTGTTCTTTCATCATCTGATGGACTTTGTGGTATTCAGGATACATCATTTTGGGGAGCTGGTTAAAGATCAGACCCGGATCAGTGACTCGCCTCCTGAAAACATGGATTACTGGAATATTGCAATGGTGAGCAAAGAGAATGGCATCAGCAGCTGTCAGACCAGCACCTACAACCAAGACTGGGTCTGACATGATGCCAATGCTGTTGTTCTTCACTGCCTCTTCTAGGGCAGACAGCTGGTGATGGACATAGGAAAGGTTTTCCCCCTGGACCCCGAGCCAGGTGGGGCTGTCATATGTTCCTGTGGCCAGGACCACATTCTCTGCATGGATGGAGAAGGGCTCTTTGTCACCTTCCACAGTTTTGAAAAATCCATCCACCTGAAAGATCTCTGTGCTCTGTTCACTGGAGTTCCAGAGTGAGCCACTGTCCTCCTGCAGATCCCTCTGGGTGTGGCTGGAGGTGCTCTCTGCACTCACTTTCCTCACAGAGGTCACGACAGTGCCACATCTGAAATTCTTCTGCAGCCCCTTCTTCACCACATAGTGTTGGTAATACTGAGCAATGTCTTCTGCTGTGGCTCTGTTGTTTCTGAGGCCTCTGTAATACAGTACAAACAAAGGTCAAGCAGCAGTTAACTAAGAGACTGGAATTTTTTCCCCTCTTCCAGTGAATATATCCTAGAGTAATCTATCCTGGCACTACCAGAGACTTATCTAGTTTCCCTGACTTCAGCAAAGTTATTCCTGATATATAGACCTAGCACTCAAGTCCAAAAGCTGTTGGACAGAGGCAGCTTTCTCTAGCATTCATCTCATCCACATGGTTGTTCATTTATGCCTTCCTTTCATACCTCACTTCCATTCCCTTTTTAACTCCTGGACTTTTTAAGATTAATTATTACACATGTCAAGAGCAGAAGCACCTGAGAGACTGGAGAGCAGCTGAACTGATGATATTTGTCATTAGGGACAGCAGCAGTGGACACACAAGCCAGGTGACTGTGCTTTTTCCCCCCAAGCTTTACTCAGAATTCACAGTCACTGATCCATCTCCCCAGTGGCTGTTGGGAAGGTCACTTTCCAAGAGGCACTTTATCTGAATCACTGAATGTAGAATGGACCTTTTTTGGGGTGTGGGAGGGTGTCCTTTCTCTCACTAAGACCATCCATAACAGATGGGTAGCTACATTCAAGAAGTGCACTCCAGGTTTGCTGGTAACCTCCAGAAGTCTGCAAAGGATCCCACCATGGATATCTCACCTTCTCTTTTGCTTTAGCCATTCTTTGAAAGGCAGATCTGGGAGTCCCATCCATTCCCCTCTGCTCAAGGTAACCATAGAACCCTCTATAGACTGGAACAAGAAGCAGAGCAAAATTACTTTATTTTTACCTAAAAAGTGAAAGGCAATTTTTTCACGTTTCAATGCAGCACAGATCATGAAATCTGTAACCTCCTCTGATCTGCTGTCATGGATGAAACCATCCACGTCCTCCAAAAAGAACTAGAGACAAGAAAGGCCTCTCGTGCTTCTTTTCCTTTCAAACTTTGTCTCTCTCCACAAACCCAGCCACGGCTGGCTGGCACTTTGGCAGAGCTGTTCCCTCCCCAGTGAACACCCCTGGCTGTCCCCCAGCACTCAGCCCCCAGCAGCTCCCCCTCACTCACGTGCCAGGCCCCTCCAGGGGCGTTCCTGCCCAGCACCAGGTGGGGGATGGCCCTGCTGGGCTCGTGCCACCAGCTGAGCACAGACTCTGCCGTCCCCCCGAAATCCGTGTCCGGCCGCTGCAGAGCGTCGAAGAGCAGAGCCACGGGGCTGTGGGACCTGCCCTCCAGGCCCTCAGACAGATAGTCCAGATCCTGCAGAGAGATCAGGGGCTCAGAGGGTGTGCACTGCCAGCCAGCAGCCTGCTGGTTACCCCAGGGTCTCTAATCAGTGGGTTTGGTGCTCTGGGAAGCTCATTCACTGGCACACAGAGCTGATCTTTCCCAAGGAATACCTCAGGGATCTCAGCAGGAGTGCTGGCATTTCATACCAGGCAGATCTGGATTACAAAGCAACATTTGCCTAAGGCTTATTCTGCCTGTGTATTTTGAAAATTCAAACAAGGTTATCACTCATAATATACCCCTAAGGATGCTTTACTGTGATGTTATATTGCTTATCTTTACACAAACCTGGTCCAAAATGGAGACTTCTGGGGCCTCTTCCAGTTTCCTCTGAAGAATAGGATTAGGATGAAGAGATTCTCTTTTGAAGTAAGGGGTGTAACCTGACAGCAAATATGAGAGGCAGATTCCTGAAGGTCCATTCCCTGAAAAGACAATGGAGAAGAATTTATACTCCTGCAGACAGAGCTGTCCTTTGAAAAGTGTTTCTAATATCTAGACCAATTCAAGAGATATGATGCTGTGGATACAGGGGATTTTCTCTTCCAGGTTAACCACTGACCTATTGGATGGAGTTGGGGAAGGCATTTTACCCTCATATGTCCCCTTCTCCTCCTCAGTTGCATCTACTTGCATTGCAAGGTCCTCAGAACTTGCTGAAGAGACACTGGGTTAAATAAGTCAGAGGTTAACTTAACCTGACCCTGGAAGTTTCCAGCATGGTGAGGAATGGCCTGATTTCTTTGAACACCAGTGCAGGAGCTCACTGGGCACAGGACACAGAACCCTGACCAGAGTGACTATTGAAGGGAAGGGGAACCAGCTCTGCTCAGTAAGAAATTCCATCTATCAAGGGATATTTGGCAACAGCAGCTTTGACTAATGGGTCTTGAGGACATTTTCAAACGGGAAGCAGTGTGTTAAGGAAAAAAATACCTCTGCCACGGCAAGACAAGCCCTTAGAACACAGCACTTTGAACAGGCTGCTGGAGGGCTGAACTGCTCCTGCTGAGCACCCCACAGCCAGGGGAAAAACCACATCTCTGTGACTCCAAAGCCCGGGGAGAGCAGCCTGTGGAAAGTTCACACGTGGCTGTTCTCCAGCAGGTTTAATATTTGACAGTGTCTGTAAAGGAGGTGTCAGCCAGCCTGGCTGCCCAGGCTCTCCTGCTCACTCCTGGGTGACCAAAGCCCCCAACACAAGGCAGTGACAGGGGAGGGGAGCTGGGTGAGCCACAGCCTGGGGATACAGTGCCTGTGCCTCGGGAGGGACTGGAGCAAAGGCTGCTCCTGGAGCTCTCAGACAGAGCCAGGGCAGGGCTGGGAAGCCAACAGGGAGCTGTGGGAAGGGCAGATGTGTCACAGCTGGGGCAGAGTCTGTGCTGAGCAAGCACCAGCTGCAGGTCAGTGTTTGGAACAGTCCACTTGGAGAAAAGTTATCCAAACCCAACAGGAATTGAAAACAAACTGAACTGCAGCTACAGTAAAATATAACAAATTCCAGGGTACCACTTTGCTTTAGGAAGTACCAGGAGATATCTAAGCCCAACTGAACCACCTGAGTCCACAACACTCAGAGGGTTCACTCTGAGCCACATTGAGGGTGATGTGGATGGTACAGGAGCAGCTGTCTCTGGGGCTCGAGCTATTCTGGAATGCAACTGCTTCTGTGAGGCTGCCAGCAGAGCTGAGGGAGCACACACCCTCCCTGGAGCAGGGGCTGGGGAACCAGCTGGAACCTTCTGCAGAGTCCAGCTGCAGGGAACAGCTGAGCTCCCTCAGCCCAGCAGCTCCCTCAAGGTGCACATCTTCACACAGGGGTTCAGTGACACCTCTGCCCTGGATCCCTGCACAGGGACACTGGGGATGTGCCAAAATATCCTCCCTCCCACCCAAAGACTTGTGCAACTGGGCAGTGCAAAGTCACACTCAGACAAAAACCTGCTGGTAGAAGAATCCTTGTCAAACTCACTGTTAGCAAGGGTTGGAGGTGATTTATGTGGTGCATTAACTTTATTACAAGCCAGATAAGGAAGGAACCCAGCTCTACAAGGCATTTAAACACGTGCTCAGATAAACAGGGTCCAACCCCTGCCCTGGAGCACAGCTCATGATCAGGCAGGGGAGGGCACTGACATCACTGCTCGTGCTTTGCTCCAAGAATCACCTCACATGACAAAACTCCCTCTTGCAAGGGAGACAAGGCTGTTAATACATAACCTGTTCTTTTTTTTTAAAGCTGGTAGAAGACATACAGCTTTTTATTAGTCTGTTAAAACTGTGCAAAAGCAGTGTAGCTGACACACGTTTTAAAAGAAATCTGTGAAAAATTTCAAGAAACTTTAACAGCATTTGGAGCACTTTCTAAACAGACACAATGGTCAAAAAAGATCACACAAACCTACCTCCACTTCAAACACTACAGATAATCACAGCAAATTGATTAACTCTCTGTAGTGAAAAGGTTTCAAATCTTTCTAAGTGTTCAACTGAGAAAAAACAGGCCCAGATGAACTGATGCCCCAAAGGCCACCAATTTTACCATTAAAAATAGGAATGTGTTTCAGTTTGTCCAATACCTGATCCCTACCTCCCACAGCTCTCAGTGATCTTCCCCTGTAGGAAGTTTGGCTGTCAGGGGGAGGAGGCAGGAACAGTGTTCAGGTATTTCTGGTGTGAGTGAGAACACGTGGAACAAAAGTTAAAGAGAACAAGTCCAAAGCAACAACAGCATCAGAGAAGCAGTGATGCTGGCAGGAGAGAGCTCACCTATGATCACAACAGGCAGTGGCTTGAGCCCACTCTTCTGTGGGGGTCTGGTCAGCAATGGATACACCTTCCTGTCAGGAAGCATTTCTGTTCTGGAGTCCACCTGCTGAAACAAAGAAGTTTGGAATCACTTGCATTTTTTTGGCAAGAAAAACAACAACAACAAGACTTTGTACAGCCTACAAACCCAGGCTGATCTAAAGTATTATCCTTGCATTACATTTCCACACTCAGGACACACCTCCTCATCTTTTTCTCCTCCTGACCCCAAAATCAAAGGCTGGTTCTCTGATTATACAACACAAAAGAGGGAGAGAACAGTTATCTTTCTCTTCCAGACACGAATTCCAGTCCCTTCAGAACAGCTGGCAATTTTGGTAACCCTCTGACTGCATTAAATGAAGTGTTGCAGCTTGTAAATGAAAACTTCACAGTTTTCTTTACACACTGTGTGGAAAATTGTCATAATTATCACAAATGCAGCAACCTGTGCATTTACAGATAAGAAAAAAACTCACTCAAGACTTCTGCCCAGTGGCTGGAAATCTCCTGGCTGCATTTTCAAGTAGGGACCATTCCATCCCTACAGGATTTTTGGAGTAGTTTAGTTCTGGAACCTTTTTTCTTAATTTTCCAGAAAATAGAGAGTTTGTATGTTTTTGCCATTCCTGCAGAAATCCTACCATGTCAAATAATGGCTTCTTTAGTTTTCCTGGGAGTAGAGTTGTCTACTGTCACTAATCTAGAGAAGTTATTTTTACTACAATAAACATGAGATTTCTGAAATTCAGCACAAGCTTTTGAGTTATTCTACAGAAAACACTCTCTTTTATAAAAACCTCCTTTTCATTTTGGAAAGCCAAGTAAAGCTCCACTCACAGGCATGACTTCATTCAGCAGGGCACGTTCTTTGTACCCTTTTCAAGAGCAGTGAGCTCTCTGGCAGGCACAGTGCATGCCTCCACAAGGTCTGGCACATCACTGCCCTTGACAGGGCTATTCACAAATGTCTTCCTACCACTGTAATGCCCCACTTTTGGCTGACATTTATGGCACAGCAGCTCCAGCAAAGCACTGACACCCTGGGCACTGAATGAGCTGCCAGGAAACCACAGGTGAGTTCACAGTTTGCAGAATTCCAGGCTTCAGGAGGGGTGTTCTAAGTGAATTTGTCTGTAAGGGTGTGACAATTGTCCCAGACACCAACACAGAGCCCTGGCTGGGCTCCACAGGACCATTCCAGGAGCACTGGGTCCATCCAAGGAAAGCAGCACAGAAGGCTCACAGGCTGAACTCAAAACTGGCAGCTTTGTGCAAGGTTTCTGCTCACAGTTTAGTCCCACTTTCTGGTTGCCTGTTATCACCCAACTAAGCATTGTGCCTGACAGGGCATGAACCATTTAAAAGGCATAATAGCTGTGCTTTCTAATTTAAGTGATTTCAGGCATCTAGCTTTGAAGAGAGCTGGATCTCAAGGAAGCTTATGTTCCCAGTTTCACTGGGACTCAAAGGTCACTGCATTCCCCACAGAAGAGCATTTCAGTGTTGTGTCCATATCAAAGAATGCATCGAGCCCTCAAGGCATGTTTGCCCCAGCCCTGGGAGCTGTGGGGGCACAGCCAAACTGCCCAACCATCTCTCCAGTCTTTTGGGTAGTTTCTGCCACGTGAACCAAAACTTGCATCACCTTCAGGAGATTGTGAGTTGACCCCCAAATAATTCCTTACCACAAAGCTCCAGGGCTGCAATTGGCAGAATTCAGCACCAGCCCCTGGCACGGCCAGAGACACCAAAGGGACTGGTGTGACCAGTGAGGTGTCCCCTCAAAGCAGCCAGGCCACAGGGCCCAGCTGAGGGCTGGCACAGGTTTCTTCTCCATGGTAACAAATAAACAAACCCCTCCCCTCTGCATTACACAAGCAGAAAAGGTCTTATTAATGTTTCCTAACACAGAGTGCACATGTCATTTCTGTGAAGCTACTGGGAGCCTGGAAGGGGAGAGCAGGATCTCTGGAATAGGGGAGAGCAGGATCTCTGGAA